ACTGAGGTGCAAGCTCAATCAATGTGGCTATGTGGTGAGCTGCTTTATGTTCACGAATCGAGTCCTTTGATAGACTTTTGTACCACCGCTGAATATATGGACACCATACATCATCATCTAAAAAGGTGCCGTCTTCTCACACAGAGACAGATAAAAGGGGGATGCGTATACTTTGCAAACACAATTGTGTAATGTTGAAAGATGCTCTTTGAGGTGAAGGAACAAGCATCGCGTGCGGATGATAGTTCTGATTGGATTGTGTATAGATTATGTCCTTTTTATGTTTTACATATATATATATATATATATATATATATATATTACTACTTAACACCATGTCAAACCATTTTGAACCATGGTGTACAATTATATTGTGTGAACTTTTTTTGTATTTACCATTTTATAACAAAAAAATGATGTCCTTTTAATACACTGTAAAAAAAATCTGAATTAAGTTAACTTTAGTTATTTCAACTTAAAGTTCAACTTCAACTTCAAATAAAACAGTTCAAATTTATATAACTTTGTATAAATAAATTTAAAATGTTTACATTATTAATATAAGTTATAGTAGTTATATTGTTGGGGGCAGTGGCGGTGCTAGCTTAAGTGGCACCCTGGGCGAACCACCTCATGTACGCACCCCTCCTCCCTCAAGCTTATAAATAGTTGGTTTATAGATGTGTAGTTCTAGTATGGTTCTAGAAGATTATATCTAGTTAAAATAGAAAAGTATCATTAAACATGTACATTCTAAAAAAGGTTTGTTTTTGTGTGTTGTTTTGTGCATGTAAACAACCAGGATTCACACCAGGATGCGTGGGAATAGTTCGTGTGTGCATGTATTAGTTGCTATCACCAGCTTTGTTTCAGTTGCACGTAGAGAATATCAAACTTGTGTGTGCAAAAGCTGCTTAATGTGAATGGCCACTAACGTCTTTATTCTGGCATTACCACTCTTGAGATTAATACACTTGCATAAAGTAAAACATATCTTTGGGGTGATCACCAGAATGGGAAAGTCCCAGAGTAGAATGAGAAAATATGATACACCTGTGTTTTGCAATATGGAAAAACTGTATCTGATTGGGCAGTTAAAAGATTTAACTTGGGCCATCCCCATACCGGTAGATCTGTCTATGTGGGATAGCAGCGCAGTTACAATAAGGGATATCCGAGGTTGTTAAAGTCCCTATAGCATCTGGGTGAGATCAAGACCTTTTATTACGTTTGGCTAGCTAAAGCGATGAGACAGGGGTAGAAATCAGGGGCAGTTCAACTTACTTCCAGAAGGAAGTTGAAATTGAGGACACGTAATTAGAATTGTATAGCATAACTTTACAATACTAGGTGAAAAATCGAATCTGTTGGAGACGTCCAATAGGTTAATAGGTACAGAAAAGTCCACAGTGGAGGGTGATCACCAGAATGGGGCAGTCCCAGAGTAAAATGAGACAATATGATACACTGGTTTTTGGAATATGGAAAAACTGTCTTTACACAGTTTTAATCAGTTTTTATATTATTTGTTTCTATTTTATTTATACTTGTCTCTTTTATTCCTTATTTTATTCTTTTATGAAATGTGCTACATAAATAAACTTGCCTTGCCTTAATACATAAACATACATTTTTGTAAGTTTTTGATAATATATTTGCTGCCAACACTTTAGCAGGGACCAATTCTCATTATAAACTACACTAACTGACAAAAATCTTGTCGCCTATCCAAATTTTAGGAAAAACAAATCATAACTTGTCTTAGTTGATTATTTGGTATCAGAAGTGGCTTATATGAAAGGCAAAGGCCTCTAGATTACAGTCATTTTACCAAATTAAAAATGATCATGGCTTGATTTTTAATTATTTAATTAAGGCAGTAAGGTCTGTCTGTATGTCTGTCTGTCTGTGTGTGTGTGTGTGTGTGTGTGTGTGTGTGTGTGTGTGTGTGTGTGTGTGTGTGTGTGTGTGTGTGTGTGTGTGTGTGTGTGTGTGTGTGTGTGTGTGTGTGGAATGGTGAAATGGAACCAGTGTATGGAATCTTGCTGCAGCCAATAAAATCAGTTTGTATTTAACATAAACTGTAATTTTTATTGCAAACCCAATAACAAGTTGTTGCAATGTTGTTTAGTGTATTCCAGCTTTTAATTTTCCAGTAGACTAATGAAGAAGCCATACACCCTGACTCCCTGAAGTTGCATAGCACCAATGCAATGGTGATTTCATCCAACTCTTGCATTTTCAAGTGCAATATGCATCATGCATGTAGTGAACGGACATTGGCTGTGCTGTTTGTTGCTGATACCACACTAGTGCAATGTCTTTGTCTATCATCCCACATGAGACTTGCTTTGAAGAAGTTCTCAAGTAAGGTATGTGCTCTAGCTGTGTTTTTGGAGAGTTTGCGTAACACACATCTATGTTTTATGTTTTTGAATTGCAGGTGGGAGATGCAGGACGCTGCAGAACTGGAGGATGAAGAGAAAATTTTAGTGGATCAGCTGAAGAAAATATACTTCAATAATAGCCAGGAAACATAGCAAACTGACTGTCAACTGGAACACTAAATAATCCCATTTTTATTAAAAAGGGACGTACAATCTCTGTGTTTAAGAATGGTGTTTAGAAAGATTGTAAGCCCTAATGTTCTGTGTTTTTTTTTGCAGATGAGTAAAATGAAAGAAAAAAAAAGTTGTATAAATATGGTTTTCAGAAATAGATTCTTGCTCAAGCTGATTCAACAACTTTATTAAAGCTAGGAATTAGAAGAAAAATGGTTTGCATATGCATAATGTTAAAAAAGAACTCGTTGAAATAAATATGATATAAAATAGATAACAATGTAATGCAATTTGTTCACTTATGATTTCAACTCCTTTTAGAATTATAGTGATATTTATACTTTTTTAATACATGATAAAGTAGACAAGATGTCATGGAAGATGCCATCAGCTGAAATCAGCGTATTTAGGTGACAGCAATAAATCACAAAAAAAAAAAAAAAAGTGAAATTAATAAATTGTTATATTACTGCTTTTTTCATAAATATAAGTATAAAACAATTTTAATAATAATAATAAGACACAAATGCAAGCTCTCATGCACAGACACACACGCATACAAACAAAACTAGCCCATTATAAAATGTCAGTGAAGTGAACAAATAATATTTAAAGAGTTTAGAAGCAAAAACGTCTAATTGCTGTCTGAGATTTTCGTCCAAACTGGCCTTTTGTTTTAGGCTCCTGTGTGTAGGTTCAGTAATTTCACTTTTATGGTAAAAAAAAGAAGTTCTTTTCATTGTCAATTATTCAGAGTTTGAGAAAAGCATTCGTCCCCCTTAATAGTTTTCACCTGCAGAATCAAACACGGAAAGCTAGACAACTTTGTTAGTTTTTTTATTGAGCAACATGTGGCCATATTTTACAGTATCCCACACTGTAAATAACAATCAATTTAGAACACACACACCCAAAGATAAAGTTATGACTTTAAATGCATATTTTATAATATAAAGCAAACAAAAAAAAGCTCTTATTGTTGACTTTCATTTTATTCACAGAATAATTTGAAATAATATGACTTTACTTTTTGTTGATGCATCCTCAACTGAAAACTGTACTGATCTGTTATAATGGCAATATACAAGTTATGAGGAAATGGATTTTGGAGCATTAAGTGCTGGAGGGGCTTGGATGTTGTGGATTTTTTAGAGTGTTTCATTTAGTCAGTGAATCAAGATTAATAGAAAAATTAATGGTGTGAATATGGTTATGGGAAAGAGATTCTTGCACTAACTGGTTCAACAACTTTATTTCATTTAAGAATTAGAAAGAAAACGGTATGCTTACTGTACATACAACCTATGTTGTATCACAAGTCAAAAAAGGGCTCACTAAAATGCAATGTAATGTACATTATAAAATAGTCATGATATATATATAGTCCCATGGCCGCAACACAATGCATTTTGGCATATAGACATGGTCAAGACAATCTTCAGTTCAAAATATGTATAAGAAAGAGGAAGAAAGGAGATTTAAGTGACATAGTATGGTTGTTGGTGCCAGACAGGAGGCTGGTCTGGGTATTTCAGAAACCGCTGATCTACTGGGATTTTCATGCACAACCATCTCTAGGGTTTACAGTGAATGGTCCGGCCAGGTTTGAGCTGACCGAAAGGCAACATTAACTCAAGTAACCACTTGTTACAAACGAGGTATGAAGAAGAGCATCTTCGAATGCAAAACACTTCCAACCTTGAGGCAGATGGGCTACAGCAGCAGAAAACCACACCAGGTGCCACTCCTGTCACCTAAGAACAGGAAACTAAGACTACAATTCACACAGGCTCGCCAAAATTGGACAATAGAAGATAGGAAAAATGTTTCCTGGTCTGATGAGTCTTGATTTACATATATATATATATATATATATATATATATATGTATATAATTGAAATTTCTCACTGAGTAACTGTACATTTGTTACCAATATATTAATAAAAGACTAAATTACACATTCCAGTGTTAATTTATATATTTTGGAAAAATATTATCTAGATTACATTATTATTGTTACATTATTATTAAACTAAATATGTATTAAGTATTTAAAACCTTGATATACTGTCATTTAAAAATGTACCGTGGTATGCTTTTACATTTTTTTTTACTGTCTAAGCTTAATATTTTAATATTTTAATATTTTACTCTAAACGTCTAACATACACTGTGTACTCAAAAGATATAAAACCATGCCACAATAAATCGTATCGTTGTAATATAAACGTACACACACTTCACGTAAATCACTGTTTTAGCAGTTTGTGTACGTGTGTGTGCACAGAAAAGCGGCGCTGTCTGTTTAAATCCCGCCAATCAGTTGAAACGCGTGTAAAACGTTTCCGTTTCCGCGGAGACAGAAGCGTGTCTTCCTGTTTGGCAGAAGGAGGAAGCAGGATGTGTGAAATCTCACATGTGCTTGTTGTTATGGTACGTGAGCGGAGCGATATGCATGCAAATACATATTTACCTCTCCCACCGTCTTCATTTCGCTCTTCAGCGGGGTGTTCAGTATCGCCGCTTTCAGTCTCTTTGCGCTGTGAACTTACTGTCCCATTTATGTAGTGAGTAGTTGTCTATAAACATTGGCTGGGGTCCATACAGGAAGCCTTTAGTCTGTTTACATGCTCCGATCACGACAGAAACACGCAAACCGATGTTTTCAATGCGTTTTTTTTTCTGAACGCAGACACTGAGATTTAGTGCACGGAAGTCTCTCACTTCAGCACGCTTGGTGTCAGACCTGAAACAAACTGTTAGCCTAATGCTAGTTACCACAGAAAGACAGCCCTGTCCTGTCAGATCGAAGTGCACTGTCATTAAAGTGGGCTTAGCTTCATTTCAGTGACTTTTTTTCTCTCACTGCTTTCACATGAATAGATCTAATTACTAATTGCTTTAATAAGTCATAACGTCTTGCTATAGAAGCTACATCTCCCAATATAACACATTCTCCGTCAGTGTTTGTGCACTTAATTAAGCAAGCCGGGTTAATGTGAGGTTAGTTGTCAGATTTATTAAATGGAATTAAAAGTAGTACTTGCTCTGATTTAATATTATTATTATTTTTTTTGTGATGCAGATGTCACAGAAGTGCACTCGTCTCGAATATCAATGATTAGTGTAGCAAAACAACATGTTAATTAATGAAACATTAACTGTTTTGTTAAATATAATTTATTTTTTGTTGATTATGAGGATTTACAGTATTTGCAAAAGTCGTTTCACATGTCTTGCAGTTCGACTATAAATGTATTGTTAGTTATATTTTAATATTGCGAGAAGTTAACATTTATGATTCCTGCCATAAATTCAATCAATTCAGCATGCTGACTGATGATATATGTTGTCATTTAGATTGAATACAATATATTTTTGTTGACTATGAGGATTTATTAGCTGAGGTTTTAATGATTTTGTACACATCTATAGTGGTTTTACTGTAAATGTAGTGTTTGTAATAGTTTAAAATTGTAAGTTAATATTTTCAAGTTCTGTCATAAATTAAATAAATTCAACATGCTGACTGATAATATGTTTTCCTTTTTGTTAAATAAGATATATTTGTGATGATTATGAGGATTTATTTGCAAAAACAGTTTCATATTTCTGTAGTTTTTAATGCTTTGGTACACATCTATAGTGCTTTGACTATAATTGTAGTGTTTGTAATAGTTTAATATTGTGAGAAGTTATGAGTATGAGTGCTGTCATGAATGCAATCAATTCAGCATGCTAACTAATGATTCATGTTGTCATTTAGGATGAATACAATATATTTTTGTTGACTATGATGATTCATTTGCAGAGTTTTTAATGATTTTGTACACATCTATAGTGTTCAACATGCTAACTAATGATATATGTTAACAATTTTGTTGAATAAGATATATTTTTGTTGATTATGCAGATTTATTTTTAAAGCTGTCTCGGATTGATAAATTTTAATGATTTTTTACACATCTGTAGCATTTGATTATACATGTAGTGTTTGTAATCATTTAATATTGTAAGAAAAATAATATTTATTAATTATATAAATATAATTAAACACAGTGCTATCATACATTCAATCAGTTTCACATGCTTACTGATGATATACGTTTGAATAAGATACATTTTTGTAGATTAGGAAGATTTATTTACAAAAGTTGTTTTAATGAACTGGTACACATCTCTAGCAGTTTGACAATAAATGTAGTGTTTGTAATAGTTTAATATTGCAAGAAGTTAATAATTATGAGTAATATTAATATTTTTGAATGAATTCAACATGATAACTGATGATATGTATTAACCATTTTGATGAAAAAGATATGTTTTTGTTGATTGTGAGGATTTATTGCAAAAAAGTTTCAGATTTTTGTACTTTTTATTGATTTTGTATAACAGTTTCACTGTAAATTTAGTGTTTGTAATGGTTTTAACTTGTGAGAACTTAATAATTATGAGTACTACCATAAATTAAACCAATTAAACATGCTAACTGATATGTATTAACCATTTTGTGGAATAAGACATATTTTTGTTGAGTATGAAGATTTATTTGAATAAGCGTTGTCAGATTTCAAATGTTATTTCGAATCATTCGAATTTCGAATAATTTTTAAATTTTGTACACATCTCTAGCAGATTGACTATCATTGTAGTGTTTGAATAATGTAACATTTGAATAATCTAAGTTAACATTTGTATTACTTCTTTTATAAATTGAGAGTGTTATGCATATGTATTTGCATGCATAAACTTTTCTAATGCAACGCAAGTATTGGCATTAAAGAAGTGTTGTTTATTGATTGTATGTATGCATTTTTCAGGGTGATGAGCTGTAACATATCTGTAGCAGTGTGTCCATGTTCTTCAGAGCCAGCTTCTTCCTCTTCTGTTTAGTTTGGATAACTATGGCCCAACTCTTAGCACAAGACGAAAAAGAAAAAACAACTGCACTAAAAGGTAAAGCCATTAGCTATAAAAAGAATCTGAATGGAAAATGTACTTGTGATTAATTACATTTTTAATGCATTTGAAAACAAATTCTGAAAAGAATAAAATATATATGCTGTATTATTATTTCTTTGTGTATTGGAATTTAAATATATATATTTTTTCTGATTAAAACTAACAAAAACCTATACATTTGACAATTTAACAGAAACCTTCCATAAAATGAAATATTAATTTATTAATTTTTATTTTGGCTTAGTCCCTTTATTAATCTGGGGTCGCCACAATGGAATAAACCGCCAACTTGTTCAGCATATTTTTTACGCAGCAGATATCCTTCCAGCTGCAACCCATCCCTGGGAAACATCCATACACACTCATTCACACACATACCCTACGGACAATTTAGTTTACCCAATTCGCCCATACCATGTGTTTTTGGACTTGTGGGGGAAACGGGAGCACCCGGAAACACGGAGACAACATGCAAACTCCACACAGAAATGCCAACTGACTCAACCGAGGCACGAAATGGCGATCTTCTTGCAGTAAGGCGATTATGCTTCCCACTGCGCCACCGTGCTGCCCCCCAAAAAATATTTATTCATAAATTTAAAATAAATTTTGATGCACTTGTTCAAAACAAGAATAAGTTGTTGAAATATTAAAATGCATAACATACATTAACATATATTATAAACACAAACATTTCTTGCAATTTTTTTAATATATTGAAATGTTAAAGCAATAATAGGTTTTATTGATATGATGAAGATGTCATATTTTGTAGCTGCACATAATCACTATCAGGAACTTGAGCAGTAGTTCATATTAGATGGATATTGTTCATAAAGATCACACATTTTGCTTGCAAATTAATGTTAATACAATTACAAATATTTCCTAGAGATGGGTTGCGGCTGGAAGGGCATCCGCTGCGTAAAAACTTGCTGGATAAGTTGGCAGTTCATTCTGCTGTGGCGACCCCGGATTAATTAAGGGACTAAGCCGAAAAAAAGAATAATTACAAATAATATAATATGATAATTTTACATTTTTAATTTTTATTTAAAAAATGAATATTATGTTTATATATTTATTATATTATTTATTATGTTGTTGTTGTTTATTACATGCTTGTATACTTGTCTGTGTTATAGATTTACTATCCAGGATAGATTTAGACGAGCTGATGAAAAAAGACGAGCCTCCGCTGGACTTTCCTGAAACTCTGGATGGCTTTGAATACGCCTTCAATGAGCGTAAGACCCTCAGCTTGTCTTTACTCTAAACATTCACTCAATGACTTTACACTATGACACGCATGTCAGCCAGACCATCAAATGGCATTTCAGCCTGCGCTTTAATAACATCATCCCGCACCTCGTCTGTGATTCTGGAGGTCTGTATGCATTAGAAGTGTGCGGTGGGTTTGGTGGGATATTGACAGCAGGCAGCAGGCTGTGATAGCGCTGTCTGTTTCCGAGTCTCTGGAGTCTGTGGCAGCTGAATGGACAAGTTGTGCATGCTATGGGCTGTCAGTGACTTACTCAGCCTTGTGCTCCGTTTGACGGCTAGATTTGCATAACCTTGCTCCTCTCTCTAAAACGCCTCCTGTTAGCGTCTGGAATACCTTATATCAGTCTCTCTCAGTGAAAAAATGATCACTTTTATGGGGCTTTAGGAGGAAAGTTTCACTTTGTAACTTTTTTCCTCGCTTTTTGAGATGAATGTAAAATGGCCATTGAGGAAAGTGTAGTTCTGAGTGGTAACTTTTTGATGCAGGTTTTGGGTAAAAAAAGATTATTTTGAGCCTAAGATAAATGGGATGTTATATGATCCAAATAAGGGCTTGTTATAACTTTAATTTGGATGTCGTTAGCAGTTACCATTAAGCAAATGTACAATGTACAATAAGTGTGTACAAATTTTATATATTAAAAATAATTGAATTAGGGCGACACAGTGGCTCAGTGGTTAGCACTGTCGCTTCACAGCAAAAAGGTCAATGGATCGAATCCCGGCTGGGTCAGCTGGCATTTCTGTCAGGAGTTTGCATGTTCTCCCTTTGTTGGCATGGGTTTCCTCCAGGTGCTACGGTTTCCCCCACAGTCCAAAGACATGCCCTTTAGGTGAATTGACAAACCAAATTGGCCATAGTGTGTGAGTGTGTATGGGGCCAATCACACCGAGCACACATTTTGCTTTGAGATGCACCTTTTTTAAAATGATGTACTAACGTTGCGATCGTTTTAACCGCCTGCTGCACCTCGTTTTGTCATTTCGCGCTGTGCACTCACTTTTAAGAAAAAATAAGCTCTGAGTGGAAAAATTGTGCTATGTCAGTCGCATCTTTTTCATTCTCCAATCAAATGAAAGTAGAGACGGAGTTTCCTTTGGGGTGACAGCAGTGTTTGTGTTGTCAAGACGATTATGGGGACTTTTAAAGATAGAGAAGAGACTAGTGGTTTCTGTTTTGAGATATCCGGAGCTGTATGACTTACAAGTATTCATGCAGTTTAGCTTAAATTCATGTTTTTTCCTATCATGTGGTTTGTTGTTAAATGTATGTTTATCATATATATATATATATCATGTCATATTTTATATAGTTTCATATATCATATATAATTTGTTTTTTGCTTATGTAATGTTTATAATAGTTTTAATCAAAATTAACCAATGAAAGTGTTTTTTTATTAAAGTTATAAAACATTACAAAACATAATAATAATGTCAAGTAAAGCTGAGTTAAGAGACAGGTTTATTTGCAGTTGTAGCCTAAATTGGATGTTAAAATGAAAATAAAATAATAGCAATAATTAGAGATGTAACGATTCACCGTTAGCTGGTTAAAAAATGATTCAAATATGTGGCCATTCAAACCGGTGGAAATGTTGAATGAATCGCAATATTTTTTTAACAGAGGGTGCACTTTTTTTAACAGAGGTGGAGCAGCAGAGTAAAATGAGACAAGCGGGTAAGTGCACCTGACAAAACACAAACTGGGTGCAAATACTGCAAAAAGTCGTTTACTTAAACAAATATTAATGAGTCTTCTTTAGTTTGTATTGTTCTTTTTCTTTGGATTTTGATTTTAAAATAGCAATTTAGTTATGGCAGAAAATATATTAATTAACAAAAAATGTGCAGCATTCAAGAAATAAATGAAAGGGCTCTTCATCTTAAATTTGTTTAAAATAATTTTGTTAAAAAATCGTGACTAAATCGTATCGTGAGATTATTATTATGAATTGTGAGTCAGGTGAATCGTTACGTCTGTAGCAATTATATAAAAATGCAAAATAGAAAAAATATCAAAATGCAAAATAGAAAGAATATAAATTAATATATTATTTACAATGATTTTATAATTGTATTATATTATTTTAAGATGATGCAATTTGATGTATTTAACCTTCTTTTTAAAATGTATCAAACATGAATAGTTTTTGCTACAAAACATTTAATTCTATCACATAATAATAGTGGGACACCCTTTTATGGAAATAGGGTTTTAATTTTTGTGTATTTTTTTACCCCCTTTATTTCTTTTTCATCTGTGATCTAATGAGCCCCTTCCCCCCATCCAACACTCAGACACACAAAATGTATGCATTTGAGATGAATGTTTTTTCCTAAATCATGTGGCATGATGATGACTTCATCCCAGTCCGCCTTCAGCTTGTTCATTACTGGAAATCCAAGGTTATGTATACCTCATTAAGCTAAAAATCGAGAAAGCATGCTAATTATGGCAGGTTAAAGCAGGGAGAATAAGTTGAAGGGGGATATTCCTCAGAGAGCCTGTGTTATGAAGACGATGGAGCTGAACTTCCACTGCATGTTGGTTTCATTAGATCTTCTCTTCCTTCTGTTAGGCACTTCTGGTAGTAGCATTTCTCTTCACCCCTTTGTGAATGCATAATTGATTTGGAAAGGTACTCTTTGCTCTCATTCTCTCTCAAACGCCATTTCCCATCCTTTCTCAAAGGAGCTTCCATGCTTTCAGCGTTTAGTGTTGATGTACGGCCTTTTAGCACTACTTGTTGTCGCACAGCTAACGAAGAAAGTGAATAGTTTAATACTCTTTGAGTTGGCCATGTTGGATTTATCGCCTGGTAACTGTGTGGAAAAAGCGCCAGAGCTTTTTTGAGAATCAGACGAGTGAAAGTGCTTACGCAATCTCTTTTTTCCCCTGTACGCAGAGCCATGCACTAGGGTAATTGCAAAAGTATTATGCCCCTAGGCTATTTAGGTTAAATGTGTATGCTTTTGAGTGCTTTGACTTCACGCACTGGCAATCAGAGAGGGCACGATTAGATTAAACACTGTTTTTAGGCTTTATTATGCCTCTTTGTCAACAGCAGTATAAATAGACTATCTTTCTAAAACATCATTTTCAGTATGTTGGCTGCGTTCTAATTCGTTTTTTAGGAGTGCATTGTTTTGTGGCATATACTTGCTTTACTTGGAAGGTTTACTGCCCTCTGAGTGACCTTAGAAAAAGACGTGATGCAGTATCAGAATCCGGCAGTGAAATTGATTTACCTAAACATTCATAACAATTCAGAAGTTCAGGGACTTCTAAGACTTATTTTATTTTGTCTATTTTTAAAATGATTTATCATTTAAATAATTTTAAGAAATATTTTTACAATTCTACCCCCAATTCTTTCCCTTATCCCTACTCCTCATTTTGCGCGAAACTGAGATTGAAACTGAGAAACCTAAGGGTATGAACATTTGTCAGAATACACCATGTACAACAGCAGCATGGCTGCACACAGGAGTCAAGAAATGCACAAATTGATATTTTACAACAAACAGGCATATGTTTTAATACATTCATGACGGTGTTTGTGTTTTACCGTCATGCTTAAAAAAAGAAAAAAAAGAAAAAAAACCTGCTAAATTTTGCAACCTATAATCTATAATAGTAACTCATTTCTAATAGTCCCACAACATACTTTCACGTCTCACACTCGATGACACAGGAATCGTCTACCAGAAATGTCTACTTGCTGCGAAAGATCTTTTTGCAGTGTCTGCTATAATGTTAATGTTGTTTATGTGTGTTTACATAGATGAATATGGCCACGGTGCACATGCACAGTACAGTTACGATCTTATTGCCACTTTATATTATTTTGATAACATGATATCTCTGCCTTTAGTGATTTCCTGAAGATAAATACCAAAAAATAATGCAACTGGAATAACTGCAGCAGTGGCCAGTTGTAGTGCTGTCCCATTTCTTAGGGGTAAAATTTGCAGCCCTTTCCCTTCACACTCTTGTTTCAAGGGCCAAGGGGATAAAATAGAATTGGGATTGGGCCATATTCTTCAAGGATGCATCAAAATCATCTAGAGTTTTGTAAATCTGCAATTTTGCATATTATTTCTGTTTCAAATAGCTGATCTTATTTGCGAAATCTTGAAAAAGGTTTCACAAAGAGAACCTGTATTAAAGGGATAGTTCAACCTGAAAAAAAAACCCTCTATTTACTCACCCTCGGGTGGTTTCAGAACATGATGAGTTACGTTTTTCTGTTGAAAATGCAATAAAATATCATAAAAAATGTTGGAAACTGATGACCATTGGCATCCATAGTATTTGTTTTTCCTAATATGGATTACACGTTTCCAACCTTTTTCAAGAGATCATCTTTTGTGATCTACAGAGGAAATTAACTGTTTTGAGACAAGTGAGTAAATGATGACATACTTTACATTTTTAAGTGTACTATCCTATTAAGTAGCAATACTGTTTTAACATATTAGAATATGATAATAATTGCAGGGCCACAGTTTGTCCAGGGTTATCAATTGTGTGTGTATATTTTTGGCTTGGAACAGCCTTCTGTTAAAAGTTTTTTGTGTTCATCCCTGCTACAGGCAAAAAACAAAGCAAAAAACAAATCAAAAACAAAACTAAACAAAAACAAAAAAGCAAAACAACAACAACAACAAAAAAACAAAACAAATAAACTTAATTGAAACCAAATCTATGAAGTATCGGTATCGGTACTCTGTATCGGTGAGTACGCAAATACAAATACTTAAACTCGTATCGGTTTGTAAAAAAGTGGTATCGGTTCATCCCTACTTTTGGGTTTTTGAAAATAATCCTCTATGTAGTGTGTAACACAGCTCTAGATGAATGAAACGTTCAGCTTTACATCTGAAAGTACACCGTTTTTAAAACTATTGATTTAAAAAAAAAGACAAAAGAATAATTTATATAAATCCTTTTTGTTCC